TGAACTCTGGGCCTGGGCGCTGTCCCTCAGCTCTTCAGCTCAAGGCTAGTGCTCTACCACTTGAGCCACAGCGCCACTTCCAGCTTTTTTGTTTTTGCTTATGTGATGCTGAGGAATGGAACCCAGGGCCTCGGGCATGCAAGGCAAACACTCTACCACTGAGCCACCTTCCTAGCCCATAGCTAGGATTATAGTCATGAGCCATCTGCACTTGGCTTAGTTCACTCTTCATAGTTAGTAATTAGCCTTAGTTGGACCACTGCTCTGGATCCACTAATGAGTTATAATTATTTATAATTATTAACTACAATAATCAAAACGGACTGAGGCTGGTGGTGTAGTTCAGTCGTAAAGTACCTGCCATGCAAGCGTAAGTCACGAGTTCAAACCTCAGTATTAGCAAACAACAACAACAATCAGGTGTTAGACAGATGAATGAATAAAAAAAGATATGCTGTGATAGGGTGCTGGTGGCTGCTGCTTATAATTGTGGTTACTTAGGAGGCTAAGATTTGAGAATAGCAGTTCAGAGCCAGCCAGGGCTGACAAGTTGGCTTTTAGTTCCATTTAAAATAAAAATTTAAAAATTAACCAGGCACTAGTGGCTCACCTGTAATCCTAGCTACTTAGGAGGCTGAAATCGGAGTATCACAGTTCAAAGCTAGCTTGTGCAGGAATGTCCATGAGACTCTCATCTCCAATTAACCACCAGAAAACCAGAAGTGACACTGGCTCAAGTGGTAAAGCATTTACCTTGAGCTGAAGAGCTCAGGGACAGCACCCAGACCCAGAGTTCAAGCCCCATGGCTGACCAAAAAAAATTTTTAAAATTAAAATGAGGAACATATAATACATATTTCATGGAATAGTACACAGTCATAAAAGAAAAATATGAAAGAAAAAATGAAAATATCATTTGCAAGAAAATAGATGGAATATATCATTGAGCAAGATAAGCCAAGCTCAAAAATCCTTGTGACTTTGGGTTATATAAGATTTCTTTGGTATTACATTATAGATGAACAAATAGATAATTGGACTTTAAAAGTTTTTTTCTAAAAATATTCAAAGTAACAAAAAAGAAAATAATCATTTTATTGTATTTGGACTCCAGAGTCCATAAAGAATGCTCAACAATCAGTAATAGTCTTTCTTTCCATTGCCTGGTGTTTGACAGCAGTATAGCAGTGCAAAGAAATTGGTCAGTTGTAACATCTTGAAAGTTGAATTGAATGAGTTCTTCACTTGCTAAAGATGGCCCTAGTGGAGTTGAGGTGTGAGTTATGCCAACAAAAACAGAATCATTATATTAGTCTCCAGGATATGCAGAACATTCCTCAGAAGGACAAATGGATCTGTGATCAATCAGTGCAGTTCGGAAAATATTTGGCTTCCCGGAAAGCAGGTAGAGGTTTTGGTGACATTTCTCAGGTGAAATCTCTGTATTTAACAAACTCAGGAGTACAGAGTACTCTTAAGTTGTCAAGAAGAGTGAGTTAAGAGCAATGAGATCATGGTGTCTAGAGTCTGCTATGGACAGTGGACTGAATCCAAGAAATTGTGGATGGTCCAGTGGTGCACAATGTGGATTCTATTAACTTTTATGTTGGTACCATCATGCACTGTGTGCTTCTGAGACAGTGAGGCAGCAAAATGAAGAGGGTATGCTGAGCTGAGTCCAAATGGTAAGACTGGCATTAAGAAGCTCCTGCCTGGTAAGTGAGTGTCATGGATCCAAAAACTGAGATACTATCTACCACATCCATATCTGGACAGAAGATTAGGAAGCCACCACTGCCTAGTAGAATCTCCTTGGTAGCTGGATCTGAAGTCTGGAAGTTGCTTCTTAAACACCTGTGATCATTAAAAGAAAAGCACAAGGAAAAATCCATAAATGCTAAAACAACCTTGTTAAAAAATAAAGTTGTTTTTTTTTTTTTTTTTGTCGGTCATGGGGCTTGAACTCTGGGCTTGGGCACTGTCCCTGTGCTTTTCAGCTCAAGGCGAGTGCTCTACTGCTTGAGCCACAGAATCACTTCTGGTTTTTTTTAGTGGTTTATTGGTAGTATCTAGTGGTAGTATCGACCTGTAATCCTAGTAGCTGGAAGACTTAAGGCCAGACTGAGTTTTACATAGCAAGACCTTCTTTCACAAAAATAAACAGTAACAAGAAAAAAAACTGTGTATAAATATATGCAGAAGTTTTATTAGTAATATCTAGAAGCTGTTAACAACCCAGATAACTATTAATAAGATCCTCAATAGACAATTTTGTATATGTTCATATAAAGGAATACTACCTCAAAAATAAAAAGGGATAATAGATACATGCAAAAATGTAGATAAGTCTGAATATAACTATGCTCTGTAGAAGGAAGAGGGAAAGATGAAGAAAGCATATTTTGTACAGTTTTGTCTCTATCATTTTTTTTTTGTCTCTATCATTTGAGTAACTTCACTTCTGACTTTTTTGGTGCTTAATTAGAGATTAGAGTATCACAGACTTTCTTGCCCACCTGGCTTTGAACTGTGATCCTTAGATCTCAGCCTTCTTAGTAGCTAGGATTATAGGCGTGAGCCACTGGTGCCCAGCCCTATGGGCACTTTAAATATGTGCAGTGTGTTTGCCACCAAGCAGCCACCAAGCTACTGCCAGCTATCTTCCAATCTCAGCAATGATGAGTAGGTTTAATGATACGAGAAACTAGGCCAAAGTAAAATACTGCTTTAGGACTTGAAAAATGCCACTGTTTTAGTAGAGAATGAAATACTCTGTTCCTGTATATAAATAATCAAAAAGCACAGCCTTCTGCAGTATATCACATTCTCAAATATGCCTAGCTTCAGAGAAAATGTTTTCAAGTTGGTACAGTGATTGTTGGGTAATTCTTTCTGTTCCCCAAATGACCATGCTTAGGTGAAGGTGATGGTCGACTCAGGGGACCGAAAACGGGCCATCAGTTCTGTGTGCAGCTACATTGTATACCAGTGCAGTCGGCCAGCCCCTTTACACTCCCGGGACCTGCACTCCATGATAGTGGCGGCTTTTCAGTGTCTATGTGTCTGGCTGACTGAGCACCCTGATATGCTTGATGAAAAGGTAAGTTTGTTTTTTTTTTGTTTTGTTTTGTTTTTGTTCTACCTGGAGAGCTAGAGCCCAGCTTGTCTATAAATAAGGATTCTAGGTAAAAATGTTACTCCCCACACATTTTTCTGGTGGGCACAGGTATCTAGTCAATTTTCACTGCCTTCTACCTTATAGGGAAGCAGGCATTATAAAGAGTCCATAATGAACCAGATTTCTATGGCTCGCACCTGTAATCCTAGCTATTCAGGAGGCAAAGATTAAGAAGATCATAGTTTGGGAAAGAAGTTTCTGAGACCCTATTTCAACCAATAGGTTGGTACATTGGTATGTGCCTGTCATCCTAGCCACAGTAGGAAGCATGTATAGGAAGACTGCAGAAAGCAAGACACTATTCTCAAAAATAACTAGAGCAAGCCTGGTGCCCGTGGCTTACACTTGCAATCCTAGCTACTCAGAAGCCTGAGATCTGAGGATTGTGGTTCAAAGCCAGCCTGGGCAGGAAAGTCTGTGAGACTCTTAACCTCTAATTAACCACCAAAAAACTGGAAGTGGCGTTATACCTCAACGTGGTAAAGTGCTAGCCTTGAGCAAAAAAAGCTCAGAGACAGCAATCAGGCTCTGAGTTCAAGCCCCACGACCAAAATTTTTTTAAAAAAAATATGGTGTGGGGGGAGGTGGGGGAGAAGAGAATGAAATAATAAGATACCAGAGCAAAAAGGGCTGCAGGCATAGCTTAAGTGATAGAGCATCTGTCTAGCAAAAGCCAGTCCTGAGTTCAGTACCACCAAAAAATAAAATAAAGCATACATAGTGAATGTGAAAGAAGAGATGTTAGGCTCATGAATATTCTAAACATTATTAATAAAATCTTAGTCATATTCATTATAACTTCTGAAGTTAGGATACTAGAAATTATTGAAAAATGTCAATCATTTGATGAGCTTTTCTTTGGTATATTAGATACTCTAATGTCTTTTATTCATGTGAACTCAAGGCCTCAACACTGAGCCTTGATTCAATCTAAAATGTCTTTAATCATCCCATGTTTAGCTAAATTAATGTTGTATCTTTCACTTGGATTTGCATGATTTTTTTCGGGGGGGTTCCGGTCGTGGGGCCTGAACTCTGGGCCTGGGCGCTGTCCCTCAGCTCTTCAG